AAAAAAAATGTCACACTAGAATAATTTAAACTTCACTTTACACTTGACAACACTGTAATCAAAACAACACATACTATACATACCACTCAGTCACACAGAACTAACACATAATTTAAAATAATAACTTCTTCAATGGGAACTAGAATTTCACTTTGCGCCCTTTTCTTATAGGTACTTATAATAACACAAAAAACATAACATTCTGACTAAAAACCTACACACACATTTAATATTCAGAGGCTACAAACCAAAACTACACCCTCTTTTCTGTCATACCAAATATGCCTTCATTAAATATATTTCACTCTCTATCCATATAACCACTAAAACACATTTCTTCCAAACAACTTTAAATAATTCAATCGATATTATTAATAGTGCAAGAATAAGCTTAAAAAACGTTGCCGCACTACACACCCACTATTCTAATATTCACTTATTTCGTTAAATCAATTTTATCATGTTTTCTTCCTTCACACATACTTAAAGTGTCATGGTGAAGAGGGAAAACACTTCGATTTCGTTGTGGAACAGAGGAAACACATGTTTGTAAAATTTCGTGCCCTGGCCATTTCTCGGCCCAGAAGAATACACACATTAACACCTACCATTTGCACTATCTCACTGAATCTCTTAACATATACTTTCTAGCAGATAATTAATCACAATATGTACATATATGTATGTAAACATACGCATAACACCCTCTTATTATTTAAAAATACCTCTTCATACCAGGAAAGAAACCAACCTTGATGGTGCACACCGGATATTTAGGCCACACTGACAGGGCGGCCAACCTCTTAATATGACTGAAACAGAAATATTCGAATATCAGTCGGATTACAGGACACTAAATTTCAACCTATTTTTTTCCCTTTTACGTGTATAATATTATTCTACTTCCTATCCACGAAGGGAAATTCGGGAGAAACAAATGCCCACAACTCACTCAGTTGGTCGCGTATCCATAACCGAGAAACTAGGGAACGATTTCACTG